ACAGTCAACCTGTGGAACTCCTTGCCAGAGGAAGTTGGAATGCCAAGACTATAACAGGGCTAAAAAAGAATTAGATAAATTCATGGAGACTAGGTCCACCCATGACTGTTAGTCAGGATGGGCAGGGATGGTGTCCCTAGCTTCTATTTTTCAGAATGGATGATTGCCTGTTCTGTTCATTTCCTCTGGGGAGATTGGCATTGGTCACTGTCAGAAGATAGGATCCTGGGCTAGAAGGATCTTTGGTTTGACCCGGTACAGTCATTCTTATGTTCTTGTCCTTTTTGTTATGTTTTCTTTGCTTTTTTAGTTGAATTTTTTTAGACTTATTAGCTAATATGTCTGGGAGTACAAGAGCATCGGGCACTCAGTGACTAAAAAAAGCATCTTTCCTCTTTGCCAAATCCTCTTAGCCAGAGCCAAATGAGGTAAACTGCACCAGCAGGAAAGAGATGGCCAGCTGAGGTGCTCAGTTGTAGGAAGAGATGTGGCATGGTCCCAACTGGGCTCCCGAGGCTTCCTGCAAAGGAAGAGGCCTGTCCTGGACTGCCCTAACCCCAAGCCCCTCTGCCAGGGTGCTATGTAGGAAGGACAGGAGGGCTGAAGCCCGCTTCCCCCAGAGATTTTTATGGGGACACTGCTTGCTGTTTCCCTTGCCCTCAGGGAGTGAGAGGAAAGCACACAGCATATGTGCATGTCTCTCTCTCCTGACTGGGGAGGGGAGGGCAGAGAAGTGAGTGACCCATGCTCTGAGTTTCCCTCTTGCTTGAGAGTGATAAAAGGGAAGAGTAAGCAGCCTCCTGGTATGAATTTTAGGGGAAGGGAATTGAGCCTCCTGTCTTCCTAAGTAGAGTGCCTGCACTCTCCACATCCACACATATGCCAGCCCCCTGCCCTGGTCCCTTCCTCACACACCTCAACCCAGACTTCTGCAGTCCCCCTCCATACCCAGTCCCCTGCCCTGAGCCTCCACACCCCACGCTCCTTCCCTGACTCCTGCACCCCCATATCCTCACTCCCTGCCCTGAGGCCCCCCCCCACATCCACCACAACCCTCTGCCCTGAGTTCCTTACCCTGCACCCCACACTTACAAACTTGTTACAGGTACTGTCATATCATGGACCACCTTCCCCACCTAGTCCCTGTGCTGAGCTCCCCATCCACCCACCGGGGATGTGTGATACGATAGTACATGTGAGAAATTTAAGATACTTCACCTCTGGAGAGCAATGCCTTGGAATTTTTAACCTTAATAGAATCGATTGGCTCCTGAATAGTACTATCATATTTAAAGTTGTCTGATATGGCCTTTGCACTTTGTTACACTTCAAGGCTGAAGCAATGCATGCCAAAACACAAATTGCAATGCATGCCGCCCAAAAGATCAACTATTCTCAGGTATATATTTTTCTTTGATCAATAGCTTTATGGTTGTCTTATAATTAGTCAAGATATTATGAGTAAGCCTGGTTCCTAGTAGGTTGTCATGACACCGCCTCCCTGACCCAGTAATCAGACTTGAGAAAAGGCAGAATTAAGCAATAAATGGCCTCTTGAAGATATTCATGTTACCTTAAGGGCGTCCAGAGTCCAAGGAAAGGTCAGCTTTTGCTGTAGATTTAGAAACTTAACAGTAAAATGCTGGAGAGCAGCTTCAGATAAAGTCATGTTAAATTAGTAGTAGTAGAAGAGTAGAAAAATTACCCTACAGCTTGCAGAGACAATATAGGGCATGATGACACACTGTAACTACTGTCTGTGAGTCATTAATTTAGCTGCTTATATGAGCCCATCATAAATAAGATGAGTATGAAACATAAGAGACTTAGAATAAAGGAGCTCAGAACATGATCAGACTGTCAGACCCATCAAAAATTCTTAAAAGTTTAAAGAGCTTTTAAGTAAATGTTTCAAAGAGATAATTTTGAAAAATCAACCAAGGAAAAGCAGCAAACATTAAAAATCAATAATACATTGCAGTTCTCCTGCCCCAGCAATTCTTTGTGTCACCTAGATTATTGTTACCAGACACAGTGACATTTAGAATGAAACATTTTTCATATTAAAAAGGGAAACTTCAGATTCTTCAGGATGTGCCCAAATTCAACCTGAGAGCTCTCTTGATGGGTTGAAAAGGCAACCCCGAAGAGACCTAATATAGAGAAGCATAACTTTAGCATAGCAAAGAAGATTTCACTAGAACCTTTTTTGAAATAAACACAGTGGCATTCCTTTATAGTATTTCAGGGTTGGTATTTGCCAGGCATAGGATTCTCTTAGGCTACATCTACACTTTCGGATATCCTGAAATAGCTATTTTGCATTTTTACAGCAAGCCCGTTATTTCAAATTATAACGGGCTCGCTATTCTACGTTCCTGTAAACCTCATTCCCCAAGGAGTAAGGGATGTTTCTGAATAGTGGGTAATTTTGAAATTTGGTGCTATGTAGACGCACCCTTAGAGAGCTTGAATTATCTGGCCATGTCACAGGTGTCTGTGATTTTCTTTGTTTTCTGATGAACATCCCCGAGTGTCATGGTTCATACCCTGAATGTCTGCTAGTCTAGAGCATTTGGCCTTTTATTGTGGAGACCCTGATCTCAACTCATAGTTGCTGTTGTATCTGAATTTTTCTTTAAGGTTATCTTTAAATTTTTGTTTTAACTCTCAATTTAATTATTTAGCATCAGGATTGATTTTCCAGGATGCTTATGTTTTCCATATGTTTTGGAAACTGTTTCCCTATAATGAGTGTAATGGCTTTTACTTTCTGTTCTTTCCACACTTGCACACACACTTTAGATATAAGTTGTAAGATAGGCCATCAACTATTAACTCTAAGTCTAACACAATGAGGTGGCCATCATGCAATACAGAAATTGTCTTCAAGTTGTCATTGTCAAATCTAAGTCAAGTCTCAAGTCACTATAGTTCAAGTCTCGAGTCCCTAAAGTTACTTTTGAGTCAAGTCTCAAGTCGAGTCTCAGTCTTAATTTAAAAAATGTCAAATCACTTTTGTACATGCCATCAATATTGGCATTTTCGGACAATTTTTTCACTAAGTCAACTTAACAAAATTAGCAAGTCTCAGGTTGAGTCGCAAGTCTCAAACAATGTACCCAAGTCGAGTCTCAAGTCACGTCACCTAGGCGACTTACGTCAGACTCGAGTTCAAGTCGTGGGACTCAAGTCAACAACTCTGGAAGTTGTTCTCTGTGCAATGTAAAAAAAAATAGTTATTAGCAAGGGACACACAGGACAAATTTTCTTCTTCATCTAGAGTCAGATGCTTTCCTCACAAAATAATTAATAATTCTAAAACCAGAAGGTACAACTGTGATAATCTACCATACATTTTTCCAGAAATAATTCCTTTTTGAACTGGAGCATATCATTCAGGGAAAAATTCCGATCTTGATTTTAAAGATTACCAGTGACAGACAATCAACCACAATCCTTGATAAATTACTGCAGTGGTTCATTCCCCTCATTTACAGCTTATTTTCAGACTGAATTTGTCTAGCAGAGCAAGATGTTTTCATCTGTACTAGCCTTACTCATTTTTGGACCTGCTCCTGCCAGCTCACGGTTCCCTGGCAGAACTTGGATTGCAAACTGTTTGTGTCCCTGTTCTGGAAGACATTCTGTGGATGAGGATGTATTATTCTGGTTGATTCAAGAATAGGGGTGGGCAAATACCAACCCCTACTGGGCCACCACCTCTACATTTGCCTATGCCTTCACATGTAAAGGCAATTGCAGCTCCTGTTGGCTAGGAATGATGATCCATGGCCAATGGGAGGGCAATGGTGGGTACTTGCAGAGACACAGGTAAATATAGCAGCAGTGTCCTGATGGGCCTAATCCTGGTGAACCACTTCCATTTTATTGCCCACCACTGGCCAAGAATGACTCTGGCTCCATATATTAGGTTGGTTTGAGGAGCAGAATGCTACCATTCTGGTGTTTACTTAGAAAGTTTCGCTGAAATGAAGATAGAAAGCAGCCTGCTCTCTACAGCCTCAGAGTGGCTGCTAATGCCAAGGATTATTACTGGTAGGACCCCTGGAATTAGGCAGCTCATTCATTCATCTGCCTGCTTGGTGGGAGATGGGAAGCTATCTGGCTGAGCAGTTAGGAATCATTAAAAAAGGAATAGAGAATAAGACTGAGAACATCTTATTGTTTCTATATTAAACCATGGTACGCCCACATCTTGACTACTGCATACAGATGTAGTTGCCTTATCTCCAAAAAAGATATGTTTTGGCATTGGAAAAAGGTTCAGAAAAAGGCAGCAAAAATGATTAGGGGTTTGGAATGGGTCCTGTATGAAGAGAGATTAAAAAAACTGGCTCTTTTCAGCTTAGGAGAGAGAAAACTAAGGATACATCTAGACTACATGCCTCTGTCGCCAGAGGCATGTAGATTAGGCTACCAGACATAGGAAAATGAAGCAGCAATTTAAATAATCGCCGCTTCATTTAAATTTACATGGCTGCCGCGCTGAGCCGACAAACAGCTGATCAACTGTTTGTCGGCTCAGCGCGATAGTTTGGACGTGCGGGTGTTGACATCAAAGGTATTTGTCGACCACCCAGGTATGCCTCCTGGGATGAGGTATACCTGGGTGGTCGACAAATACCTTTGATGTTGCCACCCGCACGTCCAGACTATCGCCC